TAATGGTGACATAAGGTGAAAATACTGACAATTTCTCTATGTATTCATTCAGCACATACTCACTTGGGGCCTGCTATGTGCCAGATGCTGCCTTGGGGACTGGGGTGACAATGGTGAGCAGGATACACATGGTCCCTGTCCTCACTGAGCTTAAAACTCACATGACAGGACAAGCGGGCAACAAGGTATTAGGCTCAGTCCAGCAAGAACCCAAACATTAAAAATATCCATTTCCTAAACATTTGTGGGGGAAAAAAATAAAAGGCAAGAGCCTGATCTGGACTGGCCAAAAAGAGAGCTCTCATTCTACATTAAGAGCAAATAGACACAATGTGAGTGTTAGAAAATGTGAAAATTATTTCTAAATGAATTATAAAGCTTTAATAAGTTGGCAAAGGAGTGAGAACTAAAGCAATCTTGAAAGCTTTAACCAACTGGAAACTTGGGAAGGAAAGCATAAGCTATTAATTGTGAAATAAATTTTGGTTTAAAACATGTTTTACTCTTCATTAGGGACAATTTGAAGCTTTCTTTCAAATTGAGGGTCTATTGAAGACAAATGTGTATGGACACGCTTCTATTCAAAGCCTGTTAAGAATAAAAGCTATAAATGAGGCACATCTGCTCTCCAATATGAACTCAGAAAAGATGTAAAAACATGGGAGGGCCATATAGACCCTTTGCAATAGAAATAGAAACACATCACCAAGGATAAAGTGACATTTCACTAATACTTCAGAGCTTAAAGCAAAACACAAAGCTAGAGTTTTCTCACTGGAAAGTTATTATCTAAGGGCTTTGATAGAGAAAGTCCAATGTCCAGGAGTAAAGAAAAAGTTTCAACATATTATTTGCATAGGACAAATGAGGCTGCACAAATAAATGTAAAATGATTCTTTTTTTAAACTTCAGAGACTGTATAGAGGGTGCCAAATATCAATGGATTAAAATGACACCAGTTGGTATTTCCGTAGCAACAAGAGCATCCAGATCCCACAGGTTTTTTGAAAGAAGTATTTCAGCTGTATTAATCTTCCAGTTTTTAAGTAATAATCATCCCTTGTAGTTGTGGTTGCTCATTCTGTTCTACTGGATTCAACTCTTCAAAAATAATCTGCATAAACATATGAAGATAGATTTCTCCAAGTCTGTTTTTAATTATATTCATTTGCAGTTTTGGGTGCTTATAATGTGTGCAGTATTTTCAAAGCTTTTCAATAAAGACTACTGTTTTTTTCCTCAAACATTGCAAAGACTTTAAATGTCAGCTCTTTATTAACTGTGCTAACTAGGAAGAAAGAGGCGTAATAATGAAATACACAAGTACTCCAAATATTTTTTAGTCATTACTGTTTAATTCTTCCCTTTAAGTCTGAAGAATAACTGAACAGATCCCTACTCTAGTTAAGAAAGTTAAGAATACCTTGATTCTCCCACTCAGCTCAGGTTTGAAAGTATACAAGCATCTTGCACTGATCTGTCATTATTGTATCTTTGAAAGTCCTGTTCCAAATGGAATTAATGATTTCAAATATTGTGATTTGACACACATGACTCGTGATTCCATCTATTTGATAAGAAGGACAGAGCCTAGATGCATGTGCAAGAGGGTTAGGGTGAGATCTGGTGTGGTCTGAATAGCTTGGGCCTTATAGTCAACTGCTTGGGTTAAAATCCTAGGTCCAGCCAGGTGCAATGGCTCACACCTATAATCCCAGCACTCTGGGAGGCTGAGGCAGGAAGATCACTTGAGCTCAGGAGTTCAAGACCAGGCTGAGCAAGAGGGACACTCTGTCTCTACAAGAATAGAAAAATTAGCCCAGTGAGGTGGGTCATGCCTGTAGTCCCAGCTACTCAGTAGGCCGAGCCAAGAGGATTGCTTGAGCCCAGGAGTTTAACACTGCTGTGAGCTTTTATGCCATAGCACTCTAGCCTGGGTAACAGAGCGAGGGGACAGGTTGGCTAAAAAAATAAAAATAAAAATAAAATATTAAGTTCATTAGGTCATCTGTCCTCACCTCTATATCCATCATCTCCTGTGCTATCAAACCATGGCTAACAACAAACAACTATCAGTTAGAATCAGTCAGATGAATTCTTTCATGGATGGTTCAATAGAACCAAGTGACATTAAAGGAAAGGCTTGAGGACAGGGGAGAAACTTACATCCATGAAACAAGCAGATTCAAAGACTTATCAGGAAAGTGCACTAACCATTAAAATAAGGTGACATTTTGCTGTAAGACTACCAAATTAATTTCCTTCTTTTCTTCCACTCTTCCTCTCTCTCTTCCCTCCTTTTCTTCTTCTTCTTTTTTTTTTTTTTTTTACAAGAGAATTTGTTTTTTAATGAGAAAAAAAAGCAAACCCTAAATGTTTATTTTCTCAGCCCTGGCACCCTGGACTAACCCACTAGAAACTGGAATCTTCATAAGAAAGCATGTTCCTTCAAGAGTCCATTTTCCAAACAAAACAAGTTCTGGGATTAGTGGTGGGTCAAATAAGGAATATTTCAGATTCTTTGAAACATTTTAAAATTATTTTTCCAAAAATTGAGTTTTGGAAATATCTTCTACATGCCTTTTCCGAAGTATTTATCCTTTGAGAAACATGGACATAGGAAGGAAAATTTGATTTTTTTTCCTTTTTAGTCTAGATTTTCTAATCAAAGCCATATGATAGGTACTTTTGGAAACATATAAACACTTTTAAAGGCCCTTCTTTTTAGTTCAATTTAGACAAAAATAAAACAAAAAAAAATATAAACCTGGCAAAAAAAATACATGAAAAATTGCTCAGTGTCCTTAGTGCAAGGGAAATATATGTTAAAACTAATGAATTACTACTGCATAAGAATAGGGAAAATAGAAAATGCTGGAAACACAAAATGCTGCTTAGGATGTAGAACAACCATAACTCCCACTCTGTGTGGGAATAGAGATGGAACACTTAGGCAAAAAATAATTACATATACATCTTTCTGTAACCCACCCGCCCAATTCTACTTCTAGGTATTTATCTAAGAGAAATCAAAGTGTAGGTACACAAAATCTTACACAAAAATGTTTAGCACATCTGTATTCACAGAAATTACAATTTAACACAATTCAAGTATCCATCAGCAGGAGAATGAGTAAATAAACATTAGAAAATTTTGCATAATGGAAAACTACTCAGGAATAAAAAGGGAATGTGCTATTGATATGCAATGTCATGAATGAATCTCAAAAGCATGCTGAATAAAAAAGACAGAAAAAAAAAACCCACAAAGCCCATACTATATGACTCCATGTATATGGAATTCAAGAGTAGGCAGATTAATCTGTGGTAATAGACACCAAAACAGGGGTTGCTTCTGGAGGAAAGTATTTTTCATGGTGATAAAAATGTTCTACTTCTTGATGGGTATAGGCAGTGCGCTGTCATAACTCAAACTGTATCCTAAGATCCGTGCATTTTACTGTGTTTAAATTATACCTCAATAAAGTTTTATTAAAAAATAAATAAAACGGCTCAGTGCCTGTGGCTCAACCGTCTAAGGCGCCAGCCACATACACCTAAGGTGG